CCCCGGCCCCTGGGCCCCCGGCCTGTTGCCCCCCCGTCCCCCCCGGGCAGCGGCAGGCCGGCCCCCGCGCTGCCTCTCCTGCGCCTACCTGCCCTTCTCAGCGGTGAGGGTCCCCGTCCTGGTCCTGCCCGTGCCCCGCTCAGCCCAGACAGCCCCCGCGGGGTGACATTTCCCCCAGGCTCCTTCCATCCGGGGTGGGTTGGGGGTTTTTTTTGGAGGAAATCCCAAAAGCTGCCCCAGAGCAGTGCCAGCCTGGCCAGCCCCTGCTGTACCCCCAGCAGCGACAGCTCCCCCCCATCCTTGCCCCTTCAGATGCTGTGCGACATGGACCAGGTGACAGCGGTGCGGTTCATCCTGCGGCAGCCCTCCCCGGTCTGGCTCCACTTTACCATTGAGGAGGTGCAGATTTTTCCCCCTGGACAGAAGGTGAGCCAGTGCTGGGGCTGCTCTCCCTGCCAGGTGCAGGCAGGGGGTCCAGGGCAGGCCACTGTCCCCAGCTCTGCACCTGAAATTGCTCCCTGCAGCTCCAGAGGCTTCAGGCTCCTTCCAGAGGATGCAGGGGTGTGGGTCCAAGCCCTTGTCCTTCACTGTGGTGCTTGGGGTCCCCTTGTGCACTGGGGGCCAGGGGAGGGATTGCTCCAGCCAGCCCCAGCCCTGCCCGTTCTGGAGGTGGATGTTTGTCTGAGCAGCGGGACATAGCTGGAGGTTGCTGTCACAAATTACGGGTTGCAAACACCCACCCTAAACACAAAATTCCATTTAATAATGGTAAAGCAATACTTACACCCATACGAACATAAATACAAGTGGGCTCCAAACTGCAGCACGCTGCATGTTGTGAGGGATGGAGGTGGGACTCGGACACGCCTTGTGTGACCCTCTGGATCTATTTCAGAGCCCCCAGAAGGATTTTCCCTCCTGGCTCTCCCAGCTGAGCCCTCCGGAGCAGCCAGCCAGCCTGCACGGGGTGAGTAGTCCCTGCTGAGGTATTACAGGGACGGGGGGACCCGGGTGGCGTGCTGGCCACAGGCACGAATGTCATTTGTGAGGCTGCCGGCCCCATCCCTGCCCCATCAGCTCCAGGCTCCCACCAGGAATAGCTGTGGAGCCCTAAAACACCTCGCCTTGTGCTGGAAGTAGTTCGCAGCATTCAGAAGACAAATATCTCCATGGGGATGTGTGATTTGAAGTGACACTTAAGTCTACCTGCCCTCTAGTCTGGGGACAGGAACGTCCCCATGGGAGTAGTGGGTGTGCAGCATCGCTTGGCTGGCCAGCAGGACACGTGGGGACGGGGTGGCCTGGCTGGTCCCCGGTGCTTCACAGAGGGTGTGCACGGGGCAGCGCGTTGCCCAGCCGGGGCGGCACATGGGAAGAGGGAGGTCACAGCCAACGGCACATGTTTACAGGTTGTGAGCTGTATCTGCCCAGCCAGCAGCCTTTGGTGAGCAAAGTCCGTGCAGAGCATGGTAGGGGCTCGCCCACGGAAACCTGCTGAATCAGCCACTGGCATTTCCTGTAGTAGTGCCACGCAGCCCAGCGCCTCCGGGGCAGTTCTGCCACCGGGCTTTGGTGCTCCGGAGCTCACACCGCCACAGCAGCAGCAAGGCTTCTGCCAGCCCTGGCAGGTGTGGGAGCTCTGGTCCGTGCCCGGCTGTCCAGCAGACTGGGGAGGACACCCCAGTCCCTTGCCGATCGCTTGGATCACATCCCCCTTGGCAAGGGGTGGTCCGGGGAAGATGCCGGGAGTTGCTCTGGGCTTGGCTGTTCCCAGCATCACCACGAGGTACCCACCAGCGGCCCAGTGCCACGGGCAGGGCAGAAGTGGCGCAGAGCTTCGCCCTGGCCTGGAGAGCTGCTGCTGAGCCTGCGAGTCCCGCCTGGCTAAAGGTCCCCAGGGGAACGGGCACCTGCCGCGGGGTTTCTTGTCACCAGGCCTGGGGAGCGCCGCGGAGGGAGGCTGTTGGGAAACTCTGGACTGTGCAATTGGTTTTTTAATCATTAGCCAGCAATCTGCTATCTGTCCTCACCATGGACACCTGCCAGCAGAGATGGGCGCTCGGTGCCAGGGCTCAGGGTCACCCATTTCCCCAGCTGACTGTTTTCCTAGAGTGGGGCCCTGCTCACCCTGTGTTGGGAAACCACCGGGAGGTCGGGAGTGTGGGCACCATCGCAATAGTGCCCGGCTCTCTGGGGGGCACAGCCATCAGAACACACCGCTGCCTGAGCCCGGGGTGATGCAGCCCATCCAGGCCATCCCCGCTCCACAGCATTGTGCCCACTTCTTTCCAGGAGCTCCCCGACCCAGAGAAGGTGTCGACAGAGGTCCAGCAAATGTGGGTGCTGACAGAGGTGATCCGGGCGCGCCAGGCAGCTGCCCGCATCGGGCGCTTTGACGTGAGTCCTGCCACCCTGCTCGCGGGGGCTCCGGCCTCGTCGCATTGCTGGGGGAGCCCTCCCAGAGGGGCTGCTGCCGGTGGGATGGGGTGGGGTGTCCCGGCCGAGCGATGGTGCTGTGCAGGGACCGACGGTTGCTCTCTTTACCAGGTGGACGGCTGCTACGATATCAACCTGCTTTCCTACACGTGAGCCTGGCAGGTGCCGGCCAGAGGGAGCTGGCTCCTCCGCACTCCTGGGGCCTGAGCGGACTCCCGCGCTCCTGCATCGGCCTTCGTCCCTGCGGCCCCGTGGGGTTTCCAGGCCCTCCCCGCGCCCCTTCCCCGACTCCTCCGGCGCTGGCTGGCAGCGGTGGGCAGCGCTGCCGCCCCGGGGCCCCCCGTAGAGCCTCTCCCAACCCGGGGCCCTCCAGCTGGCCCGGGCCCTCTC